ACTAGGTGGTAGAGAGTGAGCCAGAGCGGGGGAGGGTTCTTGGCAAGGAACTCGGCGGGCATGGCAGCACGGAAGCGGGCCTCACTAGTACGGAGGTGGGTGATGAGGTCAGCGACTGTGTGGAAAGAGGACAGGTCGGGGAACAGGTAGGGAAGCGAGAGACGGCCTAGAGCGGCAGAGGCAGGCGAGGAGTAGCGGGCAACGACAGCTTTGTACAGGTCCTGTGCAGTCTTGTGCTGGCCAAAGTGCTCGCGCTCTTCTAGCGGCAGGGAGTTGCGAATAGCAAAGCGAGCGTGGGCATCACGAGTCTGCCACTGTGAGCGGGTAGAGCTGTCGGCAGTAGCAGCAGGCGCAGGGGCATGGCCTAGGGCGTGATCGTACAGTGAGATGTCTTCCTTGGCAGTGAGCTGTAGGAAAAGGTGCAGGTCATCTAGCCAGGTGTCAAATTTCACTGGACGTCCCTCAGTATCGAAAGCTAGCACGGGAGGACTAGCCATAGTAGCAGTAGCAGTAACAGTAGTAGGTAGTGCGACTCAGGGAGGGCGGCTCGGCGCAGGTAGGGCGGCGCGGCTCGGTTAGGGCGGCGCGGCTCGGTCAGGGCGGGGCGGCTCGGTGCTGGCGGGGCCGTCGCGGTCGCGTGCGGGGCAGGTAGGGGCGGTGGGTGGGGTCGACGGGGCCAGCGCGGCCTCTAAGGGGCGGTGCGCGGGGTCGACGGGGCCCCTAAGGGGCGGCGCGGGGGTCACTAAGGGGCGGCGCGCGGGGTCGACGGGGCCAGCGGGGCCTCTAAGGGGCGGTACGCGGGGTCGACGGGGCCCCTAGCAGGCAGCGAGCGGGGTCGACGGGGCCTATAAGGGGTGGCGACGGGGGCCTCTAGGGGCGGCGCGCGGGGCCGACGGGGCCTCTAAGGGGCTGCGACGGGGTCGGCGGGGCCTCTAGGGGCGGCGCGCGGGGCCGACGGGGCCTCTAAGGGGCTGCGACGGGGCCGTAAGGGGCCTCTAGGGGCGAGCGCGGGGCCGACGGGGTCGCTAAGGGGCGGCGCGCGGGTCGCTAAGGTGCGGGTCGCGGGTCGCGGGGCCTTAGGGGGCCGTGAAGTACGAAGCGCTCTAGGGCGCAGGTAGGTAGGTAGGTAGGTAGGTAGGTAGGTAGGTGGGCCCTAAAAAAAACGGTCCTAGCGAAGGACCTGCTCTGAAACCATGTTGAAACTAACTGGCAGGAATGAGAATGACTAGCAAGAATGTGAGTACAAATATGCAACCCTAGAGTTTGTGTACCCCCTAAAGGCTAACCCACTGTAGCCTAAACAACCACAACATATATAATGTTTAACAGATCCTCCCCACAACTTCGGACCATCCGAAGTGTTCCTGCAATGCACGACAAAGCAGCAACGGACACACGGTCAAACACTCAAGATGTTCCAGACACATCAGTGCATCGATGGAGGCATGAGCAAGGATTGTGACTGGTGTGGCAACGAGGTATTTCCTTACCTGAGCATCATTCCACCACGTTCCTGTTTCGGGCGTGGTGTAGCGACGGTCGCCCGTGTCAGGGTCCTCGTCAACACGTGCCTTCAGCTTGAAGCCAGGCGCGTTGTTGGGATGCCCAAACATTTCAGCGAATGCCTGGTGCACGGTGGCGAAGGCAGGGGAGAGGAGGGGCAGGGTTAGTGGCGGAGATAGTGGGAGTACGGTTAATACAATACACGCTAACACCGTTTGCCACATCAGCTTTTCACAGCCCAGAATTAAGAGTCGGCTTACCTGGGCAGAGTTTTGGAAGATCAGGCGCTGTGGTGGATGACCCGCAATCTCAAAGGTCGCCACCGACCATCCGCGATTGAGCCCTGCTAAGCGCTCCAACTCAAACCGCTCCAGATCCTTACAGTTTCGGAGCTCCGAGATCACAAGAGGCGCAAGGCCGGGCTCTACCACGAGCTGGAGCAGGCCGTTGATGTCAACCTTGGCCATTCCCATTCCGCCATTTACGCGCCGAACGAAATGCAGCAGCTTCAACGCGAGCGGATTGAGGGGCGTGGCATTGCTCTGTCCGGAGCTGATTGTCGGCAGCGCGGCATTACTACCTTCGGGGCGGCTCTCAGGATGGCCACTCGTGTCAGCCGTAGGTGTTCCAGGTTGATGCTGATGTTCATCTTCAGGGTCCCCATCGTTCATAGCCGTGGGAGTATTGTCAGTGCGAGCTTCAAATACGGTTGGAGGACCGCTCTCACCGACGGCGTTAGATGCGTTAGACGTGGTTGGTGTAGCGGGAGCGGCTGGAGCGTCCGACAGAATGTCGTGGACGAATAGCAGAGCGTGTAGACTGGCGGACGGTGCATATTACGAGGGCCTTGCCACGACGAAAAGCCCTTGACAAGGGGTCCGCCGTGACTTATGACCGCCATAAACTTGGGCGTTGGGGAACCACCTGTTGCAGAACTCGCAAACGACGCCTGGCAAAGAGCCCATGTGTTACGGATCTGTCTAAGTGTCGAGAATTGGCCTGTGAAGCAACGAGCGTCATGGGAAGCTTGTGAAGTCATTAAATACACCGTTCAAGAACGCTGTGGCTGCAACACGGTCAGTGATCGCCAAACCGCGCACTGTCGAAGGCGGCTTGTATCACTGCACGACTGGCACTTGAGCGGGCCGCTCATGTGTGGGAATGGCTAACGATGTTCGAGCCGCGTGACGAGGCAAGGCATGATACAGACCGCTCACAGGACAAATCGTCTTCCCTACAAGGCGTGTCGCCCCCGTTTAGACCGACCACGACGTGAGCAGAGGAGAATGCGCTGGATCTTAAGACCGTGGGTCGTGTGTCTGCGTTGCGAGCACGGTGAGAAGGACGTGCCTGTTGATTCAAGAACTTGGGTGCGTGAGAGACGAGGGGGATGAGGAAGAGCGGGAAGAGATCCGTTTGGATTTGTGATTCAGTCGTGAATCGTTGTAGTGGGGAAGTCGCGGTCACGTTAGTGAGCTCAAAGTGCTGCGCACGTATAGAGCATGAATACAAAGCAGAAATTACATTGTATGTTTACATTTTATCTACACACTCAATTCTTTGTTGAAAACTATTTTACAATCATATGTAAAAGCCTGCTCAAGATCCACCCCTACTTGACAACGTGAGAGTTTATAACCCGTCAAAGATCTCTAGTGTGCTCTGGAAACATACGGGAAGTACACAAGAACTCCGTGCCCTAATGATAACGCATTGCCGCTCGTGCGTTGGGCCTGTGCTTCATACCACTCCTTCTAAGCACCTACGTGAATGTCTGTGCAAGGTTGGATGACAATCCAAAACAGTACAACAACGGATTCACCACACCCTCCATGCACCTTGTCGAGGGTCCACGCAAGAATTGAGCCCCAACCAACACCATTACACAACGGTTTCACCTTGTCGCGCAAGCCATGGTCGTACACGCCGCAACGTCGCACTGTCTAGACACTGCTGCCGATAACGCATCGCCCCCTGTGCGTTGGGCCTGTGGTTCATACCACACCCTCCATGCACCTTGTCAAGGGTCCCCACAAGAATTGAGTCCCACACCATTACACAACGGTTTCACCTTGTCGCGCAAGCCATGGTCGTACACGATGCAACGTCGCACAGTCGGAACACTGCTGTCGATAACGCAGCGCTGCTTGTGCGTTGGGCCTGTGCTTCATACCACACCCTCCGTGCACCTTGTCGAGGGTTCACGCAAGAATTGAGCCCTAACCACACCATTACACAACGGTTTCACCTTGTCGCGCAAGCCATGGTCGTACACGCCGCAACGTCGCACAGTCGGAACACTGATGTCGATAACGCAGCACCGCTTGTGCGTTGGGCCTGTGCTTCATACCACACCCTCCGTGCACCTTGTCGAGGATCCCCGCAAGAATTGAGCCCCAACCAACACCATTACACAACGGTTTCACCTTGTCGCGCAAGCCATGGCTGTGCACGCTGCAACGTCGCCCCGTCGGAACAGCTGCATCGATAACGCATCGCCGCTTGTGCGTTGGGCCGGTGCTTCGTGCCACTCCTTCTAAGCACCTACTTGAACGTCCTTTCACGGTTGGACAATCGAACACCGTACCACAACTGTTTATCGTTTGTTACTAATAATCGTCGCATTAGAATATCGCATGCCGGCGAAGACACGGTGTGGCAAAGCCTACAAGTGCGCTGTACTACCGCCACAACAAACCTGTCTGGAGGCAAGACAAGTGTGTGTGACATGAGACAAACCCACTTCCGGTTGCAACCCCATACTATACCATTAGGAACAAAGTTGTTGATGGTTTTTGTTGTTGTTTGTCTGATTTTTTTTTAGCATACAGTAGTGTACAGTGTAGTGCTGTGCGTTTGCGACATTACTACACTTTGTAGGGATCAGGTTACATTCGCACTTGTGGTCCTCAAACCGTCATACCATGCGTAGTGATCGATGCGTTGGCAACCGTTATTGGCCGATGCATCTCAAACGATTCCCCACGCAATACAAGCACCAGCCAAGAGGTACTTCCACCATTAAGCGGCTGTGATCGAGCGGTGGGTGGGTTTATGCTCAGGTGGCTACACGTACACCGTCCGATATAGCCTGATAGGGTACAGTAATCCCTCCAGTCTCGCAACTCACCCCTACCACCCTCGTGCCCCACCCACCTGGTTTCGTCACCCTCTGGGCCAACACATTGACGCTGCTCGCTGTTTGACAAGCTCGTGTCCAGATCGTCCGTGACGGGGCCAGTATACTAAGTCATGGGCCGTGGCTCTGTGCTTAGTGGCTACAACTACAGTTTTAGTCGACGCTGCGGTTAACGGAGAAAGATGACAGTGATAGACCGTCGATAGTCCGTTCGTGGGACTCAGTTGCGGCACCCCTTGGAAACCGGCTAGCCCGTTCCGCGCGATAGAAATTGGCATTCCGCGGAACAACCATGACACGTGCAACACGTCTACAAGCAATGGAGGAGGAACAGGCCGGACGCCGCGCGACAAGGTCAATGTCTAAGCGGAACGATAGGGAGGGTGGCGGCGGCGCCAAAAAAACTAAAGCGTCCGTCGCGCGTGGCAAGGGGATGAAAAATGTGGCGGCAAAGAAGGTCGCGCACGGTCAAGAGAAGTTCGGCATGAAGGCGGGAGACAACGGGAAGCAACCAACGACACGCAAGCGTGTTTCTACAGTGAACAAAGAGGTGGATCATGCCTCTACTGGAACCGAGCCCGGTACGCCTAACGACGGCACCAGTGGCGGCAACGAAGATCCGGGGCGAGGGAGCGCAAGTCTTGCAGTCCCGTCGGCGGAGAGAGAGGGATCGGCGACAGGGGGAAACCACGGAGGCGATCCTCGCGACGAGCATGCCGCAACCAAGGAGTCTGAGGCGGAGGCATCACAACAGCATCTGACGCTGCTCCAGCCGACCGTGGTGGAGGCAAGGTGGATAAAGACAAGGTGGAGGCGCACGAGTCGATGGAGGATCCTAACCACAGCATCTCCGCCGTCGGTGGCTCTCCTCCTTCTGGTGGACGGGGCAGACGTAGGCAGAGGAAGAGCGATGATGAGGACGAGTATGACACCGCCGTGCCCGGAGACATGACCACGCGGACGAAGAGGCGGCAAACGACGGGCAGTCCGCGCGACGCCGATGGTGGGGAAGCACTGACAACGCGAGGCACCAGTGAAGCTGGTGGCAAGGCGACGGGTCATGCATTGCGCCAGAAGGGCCGACCCGCAGCAAGAAAAGCATCCGGCGGAAAGAGGGGCAAGAAAGCAGTGAAGAGGACGATGCCGAAACGGGGCGATAAAGACCCTGGTGACGCCGAGGAGGAGGATGCAAAGGAAGGGGAAGATGAAGAGGATGCGGAGGAGGATGACGCGGATGTTGGGGAGGATGAAAATGATGAGAAAGATGGCGGGGAGGACGAAGAGGAGGAGGATGAGGATGAGGACGAGGAGGGCGGCGACGATGATGAGGAGGAGGAGGAGGAGGAGGAGGAGGAGGAGGAGGAGGAGGAGGAGGAGGAGGAGGAGGAGGAGGAGGAGGAGGAGGAGGAGGAGGAGGAGGAGGAGGAGGAGGAGGAGGAGGAGGGGTGGAGGGAGGAGGAGGAGGAGGAGGGGAGGAGGAGGAGGAGGAGGAGGAGGAGGAGGAGGAGGAGGAGGAGGAGGAGGAGGAGGAGGAGGAGGAGGAGGAGGAGGACGACGACGACGATGAAGAGCAGGGGGGCGACGATGAAGAGGATGAGGAGGACGAGGAGGAGGCAGAGGAGGAGGAGGAGGAGGAGGAGGAGGAGGAGGAGGAGGAGGAGGAGGAGGAGGAGGAGGAGGAGGAGGAGGAGGAGGAGGCGGACGTGGCGGCAGTGAAGGGACGGGGCAGGCGTGGCAGACGGCAGAGTGTTACAGGGAAGGTGGGGGGCCGGGCTCGCCATTCCCGAAAACGCGGGGCAGCTGACGCCGCGCGCGGCGAAGCAGGTGGCAAATCAAAGGCGCGTAAGGTGAAAGTCGTAAGTGAAGGGGGTGGTAAAAAGCAAGGGCGCCAGGGAGCAAAAGGGGATGGAGGAGGAAAGGGTGGCCGCGCCAAAGGGGTTCCAGTGGGAACTGGCAAGACTGAACCTGTCGTTAAACGTCGCAGCGGCCGCCAAAGTACCCCGCGGAAAGGTGGCAACGACAAGGCGCTGGCTGCAAAAAAACCGAAGGGACATCAGAAAGGTGAGCAACCTGGCCCATACACCTGGCGTGGTTGTTGCACTCTCTGCTCAACCGTGCCAAATAAAACCATTTTTCACGCTGTTTCTCCCATGCAGGGAAGGAGAAGGTCGACGAATCGGCAAAGCAAGGTAAAGCCTCTTGTCTCTAAACCGTACACGGGGAAACTCCAAATTAGATTCAAACCATTGATCTCATGCACGACTGGCTGGCCCTCTATTGATACCGATCGACTCTAATTTCTTGATCTTACTCCCTCTCAATCTCAGCCCCTCGCGTTACAGGCATTGGGCCACCGGTAAGCGTGCAACGGATGCAGCTAATGAAGGGGGCCGGAAGAGCGAGTGTTACGCCGCTATCCACAGGAGCACCAAGGTTCTTCACGCCATACTCCGGCCCGAGCAAAGTCGCTGCGACGGCACCCGGCGCCGCTAGAGGAGAGGAATCCGAATCCCCTCCACCAGCCCCCGTCACGCACTCCCCACGCACCTCTCCCTCTTACCCATTTCGGCCACTACACGCTTCTCCTGTCCGGGGCAGGGCGGTCTCCCCACTCGCCAGTCCTTCGCGCGGGCATCAGCCAAGCACTTCTGCCAATCCCTTCCCTTAGCTCCCCTTTTCCCGCCAGCGTGATAGTGTGAGGGCACACGGGACTGCTGCAGAAGATGCTGAAACCCTTGGCCAGAGGGGGGATTCTTCACACCCTTTTCCACCGCTCATGGGTGCCGTTGGTGAAAGTGCGGAGCACGAGCAGTTTGTTACACGGGATGAGTTCCAGGCACTGCGATCTGAGATGTACGCCATGTTTGCACAGCTCGGCCTGCGTCCTGGAGTACCTGCCAGTTATGCTGGTGGTTCCGCAGCCGTGCCTATGGCTGGCACCCAGCCGCCGATAAGTGCCGTGGACAAGGCATGAGTGCTAGTGTTGCGGGAGACAAACCCATTCCCGGTATGTGGCGGGCCAAATGGGACGGGTTGGGGTTCACGTGACTACAGGGATGTGAGGCTTGGGGCTGACGTGGCGGCGTGTGTGGGTACACGGGAGCGGCGCGTGACGAGGCGATGCGTGTCAGGTGGGTGGGGGGTGACGTGGCATGGGGTGGGTGGGTGTGACGTGGCAAGTGGGGCTGGTTGCTGGTCGACGTGGCGGATGCAGGAGGGTGTGACGTGGCGGGATGTGAGGATTGGGGCTGACCTGGCGGCGTGGAAGGGTACACAGGCGCGGCGCGTGACGAGGCGACGCGTGTCAGGTGGGTGGGGGGTGACGTGGCATGGGGTGGGTGGGTGTGACTTGGCAAGTGGGGCTAGTTGCTGGTCGACGTGGCGGATGCAGGAGGGTGTGACGTGGCGGGATGTGAGGCTTGGGGCTGACGTGACGGCGTGGAAGGGTACACGGGAGCGGCACGTGACGAGGCGACGCGTGTCAGGCGGGTGGGGGGTGACGTGGCATGGGGTGGGTGGGTGTGACGTGGCAAGTGGGGCTGGTTGCTGGTCGACGTGGCGGATGCAGGAGGGTGTGACGTGGCGGGATGTGAGGCTTGGGGCTGACGTGGCGGCGTGGAAGGGTACACGGGAGCGGCGCGTGACGAGGCGACGTGTGTCAGGTGGGTGGGGGGTGACGTGGCATGGGTTGGGTTGGTGTGACGTGGCACTTGGGGCTGGTTGTTCCCTGACGTGGCGGATGCAGTAGGGTGTGACGTGGCGGGATGTAAAGCTTGGGGCTGGCGTGGCGCCTTGGAAGGTTACACGGGAACGGTGCGTGACGAGGTGACGCGTGTCAGGTGGGTAGGGGGTGACGTGGCATGGGGAGGGTGGGTGTGACGTGGCAAGTGGGGCTGGTTGCTGGTGGACGGGGCGGATGAAGGAGGGAGTGACGTGGAAAGTTCACACAGTCCACCCTGTGGTCACGCGGCCACAGTCATAACTGATGGTTTCTGTCTCCCCATGTCGTGTTGTATACCCCACACCCCGGTGCAGAACAAAGCCTACTTAGTGTGCTCTCAGCTCCTGTTTCTGAACCCCCCGGAGAAAATCCAGTACTACCCTGCACCGGGGGAAGTGTTCGAGGCGTTCGCTGTCCACTTGTCTGCAGAAGGGCTAGAGTCAATGAAGCTGCTGTGGTTGCACAACGACAAGTCAACCATGGGTGTCTTCAACCACCAGATGTCATCAACCAGGTCAACAATCAACACCACCCTCAGGCCAGCAACATACGCCGGCATGGGCCTCTCCGATTACGCCAATGTGGTAGATAGCCTGCCCACTGAGCTACACCCAAAGAAGTGATTCAACGACGAGGAACTCCTGGCCGAGTACAGAGATGGTATGTGCGACTCGAAGACAGTTGGCAGTTGGCCCCTAAGCCAGTTGGCAGCTACAATAGCCGTGCGGTGTTCCTCACCCTAACTCTCCCCCCCCCCAATTTGATTTCTCTGCACCCCCTTTCCAACCCATACACTCCCTGCCAAAATGCAGAACAGTGGGCCCTCAACTGGCACTTTGACAAGGCCACCGGAACACCCTTCAGCAACCCCTTGTTTGCTTATGCGTTCAAGCTCTCCTTCAAGAGGGGCGGGGTCGTGTTCACCAAGTTCAAGAGCCGCATGGTGGCATGGGGCCTGTTTTCGGTAAGGATGTAGATATGTGTTCGTGACACCCATGCCTCATCCATTGAACCCATTGCTGGTACTTCATCTAAACCCCTGGTCCTTTTTTGCGTTTGCGGTTACGAAGGGTGTGTCGTCTTCACCGCTTTCAGCTGGCTCATATACCCGTAACCTCCCTCATACACCATCAAACCAGACCTACACCACATTGCAGGTCGAGTGGCCCCTTCTGCAGGATAAGTGTCGCAAGCGAATTCTGGTCCAGCTGGAACAAAACAGGCCGGACTACTTCGAATGGTGTGACAAGGTCAAACAGATGATACACTTTGCCGTCGTGGAGCGGCGGATCCCACACGATCCGGCTCAGGGTGCGTTCGTCTTCCCGAACAAGTTCCTCATCGACGATGGCGACCTTGGAGATGTTGTTCTTGCCCACCGGGCGCTTGCAGGGCCCAGCATTGCGTAGGCTATTTGACCTGGTGCTAAAACTGCTGGTTGTTAGAATGCTGAATAATGGTTGTTGTAAACTGGAATATTGAATGTGATTCTGAAATCCTCAATAACCAAAATAAAACAAAAACCAAATACACTTTTGAATTATTTGGTCCCGAAATTGCACCAAAACGAATTGCGCCCGAATGTCATCCGGAAAAGCTCGCGTGCCAAATTGGAACTTGACCCGAGCCAAACCTTGTCGCGAGATATGTGTCCGAGCTCCTATCAAATGACTCCAACCGTCTGTCGAAATTGAGTCCGGATTTTTTTACGCGAAGATAATTCCAATCAAAATTCGTCCAAACTTGGCATAGGGTTTTTGTGATGAAGCTTCCCTAGAAGCACGACTGGACGATCAACAGTGTCTACCTCGTTCTCCGTAGATGACTGCTGCGATGCCGTCTGCTCTATGTTGGTAGACCTGGCGGGTTTGGGAACCTCCACACCAGCTAGCGACCCGCTATCTACTGGCGGTTTCCGTTTCCCTGCTGTCGCTCCTTGAACTGTGGGCAGTCCCGCTTCATGTGTCCCGGCTTTTTGCAGTAGTGACAGTTCCCCCTAAATCCGTTGCGCTGTGAGCCGTCACTGTTAACTGCACCAATCTCCATGGGCGACGGTCCGTCCCTCGATCGAGCGTCGTTGATCGGTCTGTTGTATCCCCTATCGCGATCGTCACGACCCCGTCGGCTTCGTACTGCGTCGACGCGTTCTGCTGCTGCGACTACTGACTCGAAGGTGGACAACCCGTGAATCGCAATAATCTCCGCTATGTCCGGCTTCAACCCTTCGAGGTAGCGATCGCGCATCTCTGCTTCCGTGATGTCGTCTATCTTATTGCAGATGCTCAAGAACCGTCGTGTGTACTCCTGGACGTTTCCTATCTGTCGGAAATGACGCAGACGCTTCCTAGCAGCTTCGGAGGCATTCACCAAATCGAACCTACTTTTCAGCGCCGCTTCAAATCCTTCCCATGTCGTCGGAACCGTGGTAACACCCAAAGCTAAACTCCCTAAGCTCGAAGTTGCAGCTGCATGCCCCACGCCCTGTTGATGCCCGTCTAACTGAGCCCTCCGTACAGCAGTCTGCGTAAGTTGGCGCCACCACTCCAAGGCCGGGCCCCTCAGCAGCGTTACGGCGTACTCGATCCGCTGCTGCGCGTCCGCCTCTTGCACCCCGCTCGCGGCGAAGTAATTGTTGAGCATGAAGAGCCACGTCCGCACGTTCGCGTCGCGTTGACTTGGGTCGAACGACTCGGGCTTCTGCGGCTTGAGCGCGCTTCGACGTTCCGGCAGCGCTTCCGCGCCAGTCGACGTGGTGGGTGCAGGAGTTGGTGCGGCAAGGCCATGGGGGTTAGAAGCCAAATTGCGAAGTTGTTGCATTTCGGCTCGTACCTGACGATTTTCGAACGTCAATTCTTCGAGTTGACGCATGAGCTCGGCAAGCGTGTTGCCCATGTCGTGGGGGAAAGCGTTCATGGATTCGTCCATGTTCGCTCGACGACTCCAAGTCTGCAAGTCGGCATCGCAGGACGATGACGTCGTAGTCTCGTCGTCGACG